ATTTACTTAATTGGTGTGCATTGCTGGATTAGATTCAGTACCTATGCATCTATTAGCAAGGTACAAAGCTGCACGGGTTGTCAGAACATACTTGAGAAAGAAATGGGAGCTCAGCCTCCTATAGCAGAAAAGGGACAAACTCTGCTGGTGTGGGAGGGAGCACAGCAGGGTAATGGCCAGGGCAAATCAAACACACAGGCCCTGCTCAGTGCTGCAAAACATGGGCAGAAGCCAGAGAAGACTTCTTTGCCATAGCAAGAGTCTTTGCAGTGGCAAGTTTTGGAGACCATTTAATCTGAATAAGAACAAAATCAATAATATCGATATGTCCTATAACTTGTCTGGTATCTTCTCATGCCTATCCAATTTCTTATGCAGAGGTAAACACTAAATATGTAAGTTATATATAAAATACATGAGTTATATACAAAACACAATATATTTTATATATATGTTGTATTTACACTGTATATAAATACTATATCCCAGTTTTTCTATAATGCCTTTGTAATACATATCAATTTAGTTAATCAGTGAAACCATACATCATTGCTGTTTCATGACCTGGGGAATGGAGAAGCAGAAATGAAATGGCTTGATATAGAGGTCAGAGGTTCAGAGGCAAAACCCTGCTTAGAATTAAGTTTCATTTGCTGTAGTTCAGTAGTCTGTTCGCTAGTAATTGTTGCCTTCATATTTTGCAGTGTGAAAATGTAAAAATAAGGAGCAATGGTATTAAAATACCAGAAATAACTCAAAGAAAAGTAATAGACAAATGTAAAAAAAAAATAAATTAGAAGTAAAATATTTTCTAAGTAGACACACAAAATGATCTATTCAATTGTTACTGTCACTTTCACTATACTTGTTTTTTTTTCCTAAAACAATATCTGATCTACATTCTTGTGTGTACTTCCAGTGTTGACAGATTCCCATTTTTCCAATAAAACAAAAACAAAAACAAAAACCCCTTGAAATTTTTGAACTAACTTCACTTGCTCTTGAAGAGTGAAAGGAAAACATGAAAATACAGCAGGTCTTCTGAAAGGACAGTTGTTTTGGGGGTTTTATTTTCTTTGTTTGTTGTTGTTGTTTTCCTTCCACTTAGTGTACTTTACAAATGTGCTGTAGGCTCAGTTCATAGTAAGAACACATCTTATCTGACAAATTGTATCTGATGCAATATGATTTAAAAGTCTCCCCCATCATGCAGAAATTAAAATCCTCTCTCCAGGGACATTCTTCAAAGCATTAAGCAGAGTCTTTCTCCACATTTAAAGCATTTTGTTGTGTGAGAAATGACAAGGAGCCATAAAATCTGGAGGGAAATGATTACTGAACACTAACATATGCCCCAAACACGTGGAGGCTGTCAACTGCACTTCAGGCCGGGGAAATGAGGGTCTTGATCTTGTCTGGGTGGAGGGCAGTTTAAAGAGATGTTGCTAACAGAGTACTTAGGCCCTGAAAGCCTGATTTCAAAATAGCAGCAGCAGATGCAGCAGCCAACAGCATGAAGGTGCCAGCTTGTTTTGTTCGCAAATGCATGTCTTATTGTTCCTTTACTACCCTGGCATGCTCTTTTCTTAAAAGAGATGAGAATAATTGTCTATGCTGTTATTACTATTATGTATAAAAATGGCATAAAAAGAAGATAAAGGTTGCCTACTCAGGCACTCAGAAGTTAAAAAAAAATGGGATTACTGTTGCCTTGACAACATTGCTCCCTCTTTCCCCTGCCCCCAGTTTCATTCTTGGAAATGGCTAAACCACTTTGCTGAAACTCTATCAAATAATTAAATAAAAGATTCGGTTGTGGGGAGACAAATAGCATCAGAAACTTCCTCTTGCCTTTCCCAGAACCTGACAAATTTCTAGCCAGCTGAAAAAAAGGGTTTTATGATGAGAAGGTATTGCCACATACCTTGATGGCACTTGTAGGTACGCCTGCATTTTTTCCTTTAGTTTAATTTACTTTACACAGGTCCCTGAAGACCACATTTGATGTGCACCCCTTTGTGCTGTGAGAGGTAAGACCATGTAAGCAGCAGCACAGGGACCTCAGTTCCTTTCAGCTAACCAAGGAAGGTGGGCTTCCCACCCTTGTAAAGGGAATACTAGCTGGGATTGAAGTGGGAGGAAGTGATGCTGGAGCCAACTCATGCTTGAGTGACCCAAATTCAACCCAAATTTATGTGCCTGGCAGATGGGAAGAACTCTGCTCCTCTGGAGAGCTTTGGAGAGTCTGCAGAGGTCCTGAGCTGGCAGCCTCTGTGGGCAGGTGACAGTGCCTGGTGACATCAGGTTCCTCTCTAGCTGAGCTCTGAATGAGGTCGGGCAAGAGACTGACAAATGGCCCTGCCCTGTCACCACTGCTGTCACTGGTGCTGTTATCACCCAGCAAACGGGAGCGTGAAGGCATTTGCATTCTAGCCCTCTCCAAAGCCGGAGAGCAAGTGGCAACAGGAGCTGTGGAGGTATCCGTGTTTGCTCACACCACTTACGTTCTCCTGCAAAGAAGCTCAGTGTTTGGTTTGTAACCAAAGGGTCTTTGTAGATGATTATAAAATATTTTGCCACGGTTCATTTTTCATGCTAATTGAATTTATGGCGAGGTTTCTTTCAAAGAACATGTCAGCACACACTGGCATGGCTGAAACATGAACAAACCCCTGGCCTGGTGCAAAGCCCAGAAATACTGTTATGTTCCTCTCCTGATGTCTGATCTAACAGGGCATCCAAATATGTGAGGTAAAGTAGCATGCACAGGGGCTGGAAGTGGACCAGCAGAACAGCACAGTCTGTGACAAATGATCTGACAGCACCTGAGTGTGTGGTATGACTGTCATTTATTTAAAAACTGATTGCTCTTGTGG